CTGACCAGGTTTTTATTGTTGACAGTTTTAATTTAACTTTTAATTGATATTTCAGTATGTTTTATTCTGATTTTTTTGTTTTATGGAATAATGCCATCAGATTCTGATAGTCAGCAGTATAAAATTTAGTTATAAATCATACAGTTTTGTGCTTACATCTTCTGTTTTCTTCAGTCAATCTGTTGCAGGTCAGATAAATGTTTCAGTCTTTGAACTATTGATGAGCGTGCCCTTTTAAAAGTACATTTAACTATGCAGTATTGACTTTGATTATTCAAAGTGAATCAAGCACTGAAATTTGCTTATTGGAAAAATGACTTTGTGACCATCTTTCTTTTTCTTCATTTATTTTAATTCATGCAAACAGAAAATGGTCAACATCAGGGATTAGTTAAATTGAATGTGAATGAATATGTATGAGTATTGTATGAGTTAATGAGTTAGAAAATGTCATATCCCAATTTAAATAATTGTCTTAATAGAAAATATTGTGATTTAAAGCAACTGAAGAGTAATTTTTCACAAGGAGGGCAGCAATTCTCCAGAATAACAGATCGTAGTCTTAGCATGCTATGTACTTGAGGTCCTTTATTATAACAGGAGCAGCAACAGAAACGATCATACTAAGGCAATATAGTCCCTGAATAGTCCCTTTCTCCAACTATGTCTTACCTCCAACCCTGTGGAATGAAAGTCATCTCCAGTTCTTGTTTTTTTTATCGCAGCCTGAAACCTAGCCAGTACAGCAGGGTGGTATAGTCATGCTTGATTCATCAGATGACCTGGAAAAGATAATCATAAATCCATAAAAATAGAGCTCCTCTGTAGATAATTTAAATAAGCATCATGCTAAGTCACTGTATGATTCAGCTCAAAAATGGAAAGAAAATAATGTACCTTAAACTATGTGGCTCCAATATTTGATATGTGTATCTAGGAGCTATGAGCATTTCAAGATAGTCTGCTATTTGGAACAATAAAAATAACTTTGAATTTTACTTCCCAACCCAGAACCTGAAGCTGCTGCTGAAGCAACAGAGACAGAATATGCAGAGGTTGTACAGCAGGTACAGGTAAGATCTTGTTAGTATTTGTATATAGTAATTTGAATATAGAAAGTATAGAATATATTTACTATATTCAAATGTACTATATTTAAACTACTATTGCTGTGGACAATATTTATTTTATTTATGAAAGCTGATATGCCCAATTAATTTTACAGATGGTAGATGGAAAACAAATCTCTTACAATCTGCAAGGTACAGTCCTTGGTTATGTTTGTTACCATAACACAATTTGATTTTAAGTTTATTTTTCAGAATCAGTAGTGGTGCTAGGAATAAATCTTTGGGCCAAAGTCCAGGGCTCCAAAGACTGGAAGAGGCCAAACCATCCAGAAAGCATTAGGAGGTAGGATAGCAGCAAGCAGGTCAATATCAACATCTGGGCATCTTGGAATACCTTTGGACTGACTACCCCTCTCTCCCTCCCCCATGTTTTGTCAAGAGAAGGCCTGCCACATATGCTTCACAGTCACAGTCTATTTTAATGATTTTGTGCTTTTTAAAAATTCTTCTATATGGTAAAAGAGAGTTCATTCTCAAGGAAGTTTGCTTAGCATCAGGGCAGCAAAAACAAAGGTCATTTTTTGTTATTTATTTCTGTATTGTGATTTAAATGAAGAAAAAAAAACATCCCTGCAAATGGTCATTTTAATATCTAATCAGGCTTAACAAACAGGGTTTTTTTTTTCTTTTGTTCACAACATACTCAGAAGTGGAAGCATGGAATGGCATGATGAGCAGAGGAGAAGATAATTGGGTATACATGTAGCTTGCTTTAACTTATATTCTCTCAAAACGATTATGTCCTAAACCTAAACTTATATAGCTGCATCATTGTCCAGAATGTGTTAATAGCAAAATACTTAAGTGCTGAAGAGACTAATATGTGAATGGTAGTAGATGCCAAGGCAGTGCCCATTAGGAAGAAATACTTTGGACCTTGGGAAATAAAAAGGCCTTTCTGCTATTCATTAAAGCAGCCCCTCTTTCTTCCATGTCAGCCTGAGAAAAGATGTAGTGGCTATTATAAGGAGTCAGGTACTCCTTATTGCAACTTCAATAAATGAGACTTTGTGTGATGTCCAAAGCACATCTTTCCAATCATACTTAAAGCATGCACAACCTTAGAGTTGTGTTTCTTGTATTTCTTTCATGCCATTTTATAAACAAATCTAAATGAGTCACCATCTTCACATGGTGCTTCTCTAAACTTAAACATTTATTTGCTGTACTTCTTAATTATCTTTACTTTGGCATTATCATTTCAGTATTAGAACCTACTAGCTAAATAATCGAAAATGTATTCTACAAACTCTTAGCTTGCCCATCTTTTTGAAAATGGATGAGGTATGGTAGGAAAGAGTATAATGTCTAAAATCTTTATCAGTCATAAAGGAAATTAGGGACCAGGAATTCAACCAGGATTGGTTGGGATTATACTCCTCTTGAATGTTCACGTTCTCAATTTCTGCATACTTGTAACATTCAGTCCTGTATTCGGATGCCTAAGTTTGGACAGTAGCTGAGAATGTATTTGCATAGCTAAGGCTAGTGTGCCAAAACATCAATTTTGGAGATGTCAGGTCTGGCTATTGTCTCACAGGCTTAAGTTTTATCCTGTTAGGCTACTCAAATGCACTGGATGTGAGTCAGTCTTTGTACAGTGATTCGAACTTCTGCTGGTCCAGAATGCCCTGACAAAAACTGTTACTTGTTACAATAGTTTCACTGGCTAAAAACCCTTGAGTTGAGCTGAACTCCTGTTTAGGATGATTTAGTCCTTGCTGAGGAGGGACCAAACATGAGATTCTCTTCAGGGCCAGTGTTGGCTTCTGGGTGCAATTCAGGGCACTGGTGGTCAACTATAAAGCCCTTCAAGGCCTGGTTACTTGAGGAACCATCTATCTGCCTGTTTCTGCCTGTCCTATATGATCAGGCAGAGTGGGTGTGCTCCAGGTCCCTTTGATTAAACAATGCAACCTATTGGTACCTAGGAAGCATGCCTTCTCCATCACAGTGCTTGTTTTCCGGAACAGCATCCCCTCAGAGATTCATATGGCTCCCACCCTGAAGTTGTTCAAGGACTCCTTGAAAACCTCAGGTCTGGGGTTAGGATGCGTACCAAAACTCTGCAGAATTCTATTTGATTAAGGTGTTTTTTTTCCCCAGACACACATGATCTGTGCTTTTATTGTTCAATTGTTTACTTTTCTGATCCTATAAGCCACCAAAGTATTATACAGTTGGGCAGCCACTGTATTACCTATATACATAAACTTCATGGATACATCTAGGTACTTTCTTTGGCAACAGAACAGAGGTCATTTGTCATTCTTTCTTCTAGGTGGTCTTTCCTGCCACCACCACCAATTTCCCTAGCTAGCCAACAATATTCTGTTTCCCAGTGTGGCCCTAAACATTTATCAGGACTAGAAAAAGGGGTCATCTTAGCGGCTACTCCCAAAATTTGAAACATCCTATCAAGGGACGCAAAATTTCCTTTATCTTTATCAAACTATTTTTATTTAGACAGTGCTTTGAGGTATGTTTTACCCTGTTGGATTAAATGTTTATTCTGTATTTTTATTTGTTGAACATGAATCCTTTGATCATGTTATTTGAGTTGTTTGAGCACAATTTTTGGTGGAAATATCTGCAATAAATTTATATTCCATTTTATTTTAAAAATGTATGTATTTGCATTTGCTTCTGCCTCTTCCTTCAGGGAGACTAAGGAAGTTACAGGTAGTCCTCATTTAGTGACTGCAATTGAGACTGGCAACTTGGTCATTAGTGGTCCTAAGTGAAAAATTATATGACCATGACTGTGTTTACGATTTTACTTCAGCTTTCTTTTGCTTTACAACATCAGAAGGATACAAACAGCCAGGTGAGCCCAAATAGCAGGAACTTGACTCATGAGGAAGCCAGGTAAAAGGGCAAATCTTATAGCCCTTTTTCCTGACTGTCCCACCCTTTGGAATGCTTATCCCAGCACTGAGATAATTAGCAAGAAGAGAATTGATGTTTGTATTTACATTCATTGGAGAGGAAGGGATTACAAGAGAGTAAGCAGGCACACAGTGGGGAATACACACTGAAAGGAATGTGCTATCAATGAGCCACTTAGGAGGCAAACAAAAGCCTTTAGTGTGAAACTGATTAGGGTCTTGTCAGTTTCAGGCAGCAGCTGTAGAAGATTCTAATCAAGTAATTAAGGTCACAGCTGAGTTTGTTAACTTGCACTTAGCACTTTTTAGGAATGGACTGTGCTGGGGAGAAAAGCAGCTCAGGAAGAGATAGTTTGTTCAGCCAATCTTTCCACTCTCTGATTTGGTGGGGAAAACTGGGTCAGGTACAGGTTAAACAAGTACTGACTGTAACTGTGACTGAGAGAGACACTGCGAAGGTCATAAATGTGGGCATTGGTTGCAATGTTACATTTTTGTCACCATTGTAACTGTGAATGTTCGCTGTCCGAGGCAGTTGCTAAATAAGGACTACCTGTGTTTTGTCTCCTTATTAGATACAAGCCCGAGGGCTCTACAGGCTACTGTGAGGCAATGGAAAAGCCTGTGTCAAAGCACGCAAGGCTATTTGGAAGCTATATATGTAAGCCTATCAGCATACATTTTCAAGCAATTTTTAAAATGACCATGCTTGTTTAGTCTCACATACACAAATATCTGTTAATTTTCATGAAACCTTTTTCCCACTTTTCCTTTTTTTAAAGAGAGAGAAAAAACATTCAGACATCAGTTATTGTAAGCATGTAACGAACAGTATGTGAAACACAGCCAGACAGGCAATAGTTTGACTTTGTTAATAATGATATTTAATCCTAAATATTAAATAGAAGAAAACAATACGAGAAAGAACAGAGAACAGAAATTTCAGCTATTAAAGGAAGGTTCTTTTTGAAGATATTTCCTTTGGCTTCTGAACTATGAAATATGTTAGAATTTGACCTCTAATTACTTAGATAAATTGCTATTTCAGCCTGATGAGAAAAAATACAACATTAAACAAAATGCATAAATGAAGCTATCTATTGTCGAATTTAATAAATTGGATGTTCCTTGGAGTTTTGCAGTAAGATAGGTGAAGAAGATGCAGTCCAGATGCCAGAGGTTAATGCCATTAAACTTCAAATTGTTTCCTCTTAAACATTTCTTATTACAAATCTTTAATGAGAATTTCTATTGCAATGTAGAAATCCTGAATCATCTTGTTCTTTGGACATAGTAACATGTTCAAGAGTCACAAAGTTTAAATTTAGGGCGAGAAGTCCACTATGGTGTTTTTCTACATTGGTTTCCTTTATCATGTAACTGCCCTTTAGAATCAAGATTTTGTATTAAAAACACACACTAGGGAAAGACATACTTTTCACAAAAGTTGTGCTCCGGTAAGCATAGACCCCTTTCTCCAGGAGTAGGAATATTAAATGGGTAGCTTAATGCTCCTCTGTGCTTCAATGGATCCTCCCCTCTCCTTTTTATTGAATTTCAATTGAACTAAGAGAGTGTTCTCCTTCATGGATCACTGCCTTGTCATGGCGAAGGGGCTTGCGTAACTCAGTGAAGCCA